TGCAGAAATGGTGAAACCAGACAAAATGTCGTTGTATTGTTATTGTTAGCAGCTTGCAGGTGAGGAAGTAGCTGCCCAATTACCACTTATTACACCTGGACAGTTGGACTCAGCAGGATTTACTTGGGAAGTTTCAGTATTATTTCACTGGTTCTTTGAGATCTTATTCAGTGGGCTTATAGCTTTTGGATCTGAGCTCAAACCAAGATGTTACTTGTGCATTACAGAGAAGCCAGGCAATTTGTATGTGTTAAATAGATAACTGTTGCTCTTATTATTACATGCTGAACATTTCAACAAAATTTGCCTCCTCCAAAAAGTATCCTAACAGATGGATGCTGGACACCCAACGCTTGACGGCTTGAGTACTATTGATCAGCACCCAACATTCCAGGCAGTACTGCGTGCATGCCAGGAGAAAATGCTCTACGGTCTCCTCCACCCCACAGTGGCTGACAGTGCAAGCACATGGGAGTGTCAGGGTCGGGAATCGGGATGCATGCCAGAGGCCAGCATTGCCCAAGACCAGCATATATTTCATCTTCCTTTCCGTGCATAAGCCTGCTAAAAGGCAGAGTAGAGTGTAGACTAAGGGATTATATGTTAAAAGACAAAGGTACAAATCCCCTTCATGGAAATTAACCAGCAAGCTAATGAGAAGTAAGCCACCAATACAATCGCTCTATGCCGTATTTAAAACCGCCCAACAGCTCTATCCCATGCCGTGTAACCTCACAATTTTTGGTAAGCAACTCCCTATGCTATACCGCTGTTGGCGCTGTTGATACACAGCCAGCACTCTAGCCCGTCCGTTCGTCGCAGCTGTTTTCCCCCAGCATAACTCTACCTCCATGCTTACCCTGTCTCCCCACCTTTTTTCACCGACTGCTGGATGGTTTTTCTTAGTTTCTGCTCACTTGACTGCATTACGCTATGAAAAGAGGATCTATACAAGTTGTAACTGAACCAAACCTAACCTAATTCGGATAAGCATCAAAAGTCTGCAAGAAAAGCCTCCAGTTAGCCATGCAATAATGGTGGAGAGTCGGGGTCCTGCGGGGACTGGGGTAAGTGTGGGGGAAGAAGATGCTGGGGGATAGTAAGGCAGGGAAAGTGGAAACAGTGACGTGGGGTTAACGTATTGCAGAGTAAGTAAGGTGATGACGCGTTACCGTTTGCCGTTTGGCACAGTTCACATTTGCGGCAATGCAGTGTGCTGTGTGGTCAGCAGACACTTAGGCCCCTTTCACACAGGGCAGTAAATACTGCCAGCGTCCGACAGTATTTACTGCCGAACCTTAGCAGACATACGAAATATGCACTGCTGTTCACACACGACTGCTTTTACTGCGGCGTAGAACTTGACGCCTGATGCCAGCGTGTGTCGCGCTAAAACTGCGGCAGTAGATATGCCGCAACAGTTTAGCTTGCAATGGTATTCAATGTAATCTTTCACACTGGGCGGTTTTTGACGCCACATCCTAGCAGACAGTGGTGCCGTATTTTAGGTGCATAATAAACAGCACTGCTAGACTGATAGATTATAGACTGATATTGTTTATTTTCTCCATCCCTTTGATGCAATTTAAAATAGGGCACTAAATTTCTCTAATTAAAAGAGCTAACAAGTTGAAGTTTGAGCCAAAGATAAAAATGTTGACCAAAATACTCCATGTACTGACTGCACAATAATATATTCATTTAAAAACTATTTTTGATAAACTGTAGGGTAATAGAGGAGTCAAGAGGACCATTTGTGGGGTAAGACAGGACCATTTGTGGGGTAAGATAGGACCGTTTGTGGGGTAAAACAGGATCATTTAGTGGTCCTGTCTTACCCCATGTCCGGTCCTTTTTTACCCCATTTTCTAATACATGTCAGGCAGTGATGGTAGCAGGTAGGAATGTCTAGTATGTCTCAAAAGTTGCTTATTACTTGAGGTTGAGGTTACCTGCCTACATTCACAAACCTGGCCAAAAATTTTTTTGTTATTAGACAGAGCTTATTTCCCAAGCAGGGTTAACTATTTTGTGACCCTTCTTTACGTAGGTTTTCTTTAAAAATTAGTCAGAAATTCATTATTTGCAGAAGAGGGTTGAAACAAACACTGAAATGACAGGCAATGATTGCTCTAACATATACTATTGTCAAATTAAATTCAGTGCAATTAGAATGCACGCCATGGGCTGGTCCTTTCTTTATTGATGGTGCACAAAGCACTCTTTTATTTAGCACTGCAAGACTGTTAGACTGATAGATCCCAGCAGTAAAAAGCGCCTCGTGTGAAAGACTGCGCTGTAAATACTGCCGCGGCATTTTTGACGCACGCAGTATCTACTGCCCTGTGTGAAAGGGGCTTTAGGATAACAGCATGTCATGTGTAAGAAGTGATGGTATGGGTTATAAAGCATTGGAGAAGTTGAACAACCGCAACGTATTGACCGTTAACTATGTGGAGTAGCAGCTTGTGTGCTGAACTTCAGCTGAAGCAGTGTTGGTTTAAAGTTCGTGTGTTCACTGTGTGTCTGTGTTGAGATAGGTCAATTGACTACATCTACAGCCACCCACGGCCACAGGTCTACAGCTGGTTAGGTGCTAGGATGACAATATCTATAGCATTTAGATGGTTGATGTTGGCTTCAGGGCTGATTAGAGCGTTAATTTGCTGGTCTACGGCTGCGTACCCTCAAGGTCAGCCATGCCAAATCGATGATCGGACGAAATACAAACTTAAATACTTTGTTAAGTTACAGAGCAGCAGGCCAGCACCGACGAAAGTATTAGCGCCCCCACTCCGCCTTATTTCAGATCGATTCCAGGCTTTCCAGAAGGTGAGTCTTAAGCAGAAATTGTATTATCAGTTCTGGGTTAAAGGGCGGCAGGAGAATTGTGCTTAAAGAGAAGGTTTAACTGCTGACAGGCAGAGCGTAGGCTACGTTGCTGAAGGGTGTAAAACTATACCGGACGAATCACGAAATGAGCTGGAGTAAACAACACGTGGCGGACAACACATCCACAACATGCAACGGAGAATCATCGTCTTTCCACATTTGAGCAACAAGGTTTGTCGATCAGACTCATGATCGGTCTTCAACAATGATCTCCCATAGCAGATATTAAATAACGAATATCATATAGAGCGCTAATAATGATTATGCTGTGTGGGTGAATTTCCGGTAAGGTTGAGAGAAGGCAACACAAATTAACAATTCTAAAACTATAGCCTGTGTTATTCTTCCAACACTGCAATCAAAATTCTCGCAGTATTCTACATGTTCAAAATTATATATTGGAGATTATTATTGTCATTGAAGTGCTGAGGAAGACATATGTAGGTGGGAGCGAAGCTCGACGAGCTACCTAGGCCACATCAGGCGACAGGCCTACACTTCAGCGCCGACATCACTATGTTATAGGCACTGCAGCAACAGCTCTCCTGCCGGCGACGGCGAGAGCCCAATACGGAGCTTTATGCGTTTCAAGAGAAGTTACATCAACGCTGCCAGCAAATTGAAGCGCTGAAGGAACAAACGCTTCAGATGGCAGGGGGAGGGGGAACGTACCATCACCCTTGTCACAACCAAAATATAAGAATGTCTTGCCAATATGCCCATGGAAAATTTCGCGGCGGAAGTAAGTCGGCTTATCAAAGACACTGGCAAAAAAAATGGAGGCGCTTGTTCAGTGCGTCCGAATTTCTTGCTGATTTCGTTGGCTTAGCCCGTGAAATTTAAACAAAAAATTTAGTCATTGACCTCGATGCTCTGTGCGTCAGTTTCTGGTCAGAATCGGCGAGGAGGCCGGGCGGTTAAGCATAGCAGAATTGTAGCAGTGAGTTGTGAGTTCGAGACCGCAAAATGCTGTGAATGTTCTGCAATGTTAAGAATTGGCGACAGACGTAGAGTCTACTAAACGCTGAAACCGCTATTATCATTATTATTATTAAGATTGGATTGGGTTGCGAGCTGACCTCTGTTCATGACCTTTAGATCGGTTATCACGATGCATAGAAGATCTTTTACTAGGGTAAAAACAATATTTAAAAGTTTACGTCGCACTCAGCAGTTAACAAAAAGTTCAAGTACAGTTAACTATTCACAAGAATCCTAAAAGACTAAAACATCTAATAAATCATGCCAACATCTTAAAAAATAATCCACGAAAAAAGTCGTTCTACTCCTAAATATCACGTTCCAATGAAGAAGTACCCATCTAATGAAATTCAGTCACTAAGTAAAGAAATTAAAATAGAAAACCTTTTCACTGCAACAAAAATTATATCCGTAGCTTCTGCTCATTGAGCGTCAGAAGCACTAACTACTCTTTTCTCATATTTGATGTTGTTAAAATATATAAAATATAGAATATGATAGAACGTTTTCAGCGTTTACTAGGCCGCAGACCTGTCGCGATTGTTAACATTGCAGAACAATCAAAGCTTGTTTCCATCTCGAACTCGCAACCCATTTCTCCAGAAATTATTATCAAGCATATAAAATCAGAGGGTTACTTCAATTATTTAGGTAAAAACAGTCTAATTATTAATTTGTTGGATGGTTCGTCCCATTCCCTAGTTCTAACGCTCTAAGAAAACCTTCTCGCTCTCCTTGAACATCTCGCTATCCTTCGCTCCCATGTTCCCCGAGTCCTGCGTTGTTATCACATTCCTTAGTTCATCGTTGCACGAGACCTTCTCATGTGTAACTAAATAGTTGTTCCCACTTCAAATATATTAAAAAATTATGTTCACTAGAGGAATGTAGCTGGAGCAACTGAAGCCCATTTACAATTAATAAGAGTTAGACACTGTAAGGAAATTTACCAGCTATATTAATGATAAATAATTTTAAAAAGCTCCTTTTGATACCAATTTTGCAGTGTTGAATGAAGTACTGCTGTTGGAGTAAGCTACTGTTGCATATAGATTTACAGTACGTTTGTACGAATTCTAGTACTTATGAGAAGTTGGCACGACAGACGATATAACGGTCACGGCCGTTGCATCAGCGTCAATGTTGTTATAGTGAGAAGCAGTGCTGTGTGGGTTGCAGCTTTTTGTGACTGAAAAGTGCATTTAGTGGGACGTTCAAACCAAAAGCATCGAATTAAATTATTGCTGTTTTTTAGTTTGATTAGTCTAGTTTCGATTTACTCCAAATAATTACCAGGTGAGTAGGTCCGGATTGGTTTTGTTTGCGTCCTAATTCGATAGTTTTTTACGTTTCTGAAACAGAAAACGTAAATTTTGTAGAACAGACTATTTTGTATATTGGACTAAGAGAATATAAATTGAATCAGCAGACGACAATGATAAAATTTTATACTTATTTCTGCATCAGCTAATTTATGTATATATGACTTCAAGAAGGTGGTGTGATTTGCAACATATTAGTATTACTATTAATGCTCTTTGTAAGCTCATAAATAATGCGTCGATATTTTAAAAACGAAAAGAACTGTACATTCTTTAAAATTAATATTTGAAAAATAAACTATTTTAATTTATGTGGTTTTCAAGGTTGAAGGACAATGGATAATGCAAAAGCAGACAGAGACCAAGCTGAGGACAAGAAGGAGGTTGACATATATAGGGATACACCGGTGCGTCTTCTAGGTGGGTACTATACGCTGCCTTCTAGAATATACTCTCAGAAAGGTTTCTACATCATCTGGATATTCGGTTAGATTAGATGTTCCTTTCTCGTTATAATTATAATTTATTTATTATCTATGTATAACGGATACGTCATACATGTCGTAAAAATGAGATATTCCAGCCGAATAAATCGAAGAAATCGGTTAAAGTTGCAAATTGCAATAGGTATAAGGTATACGGAAACTGTTATACTCTACAGTCTACATCCACCATAACATTAGGCAACAACCATTTCAGTTCAAGATAACAAATACCATTATACGATTTCGTATAATTCGATTGAATGAAGTCACGTGTACCTAATTAGTAGTGTTCAAGGGGCAACGTACGTACTTGTTTATTACCAAGATTGGAGCAGTAAGTTGCGGGTTCGAACCCACCTACCTGCTCCAATTTGGTTAAATTCACCAGAAATTGACAGACAACAATTGACCTTTTGTCTCAGCCTAAATGGCACAGTTGAAGTTGAAGCAGTGAATTGCGTGTTCGAGACCCGCTATAGTCTGTAAAATTCTACGATGTTCATAATTAGCGGCTAGCCTAATGACCTAATCAACTCTGTCTGTGAGTACCCTAGAAGTACCCTGACGTTTGTTGTGGTACGCGCAGGGTACGCCAACGAGGTGGGCGAGTCGTTCCGGGCGCTGACGTCGCCGTGGTTTGTACGCGCGACGTACGGCGTCTCCGGTCTCTACGTCGTCGCGGACACGACGGACAAGGCCACCAAGATGGCGCGGGTAGCGGCATTGGCATAACTTGTTGAGATTTTATGTCTTCATTGTAATGTTAATACCAATGGTCTATAACTGTTTTTTATTGTTGTTTCCACTGACTCATGCCAATGATTAATTAATTATTATTTGTTGGTTCTATGCCAACGGTGTACATTGTACAATTGTATTATCATGCAAATGATCCGCGTTTGGTTTTCTTGATAAATTTATTGTTACTAGATTGTATTGTCAGTGTGGTTTTTCTGGCATTAATATATAATTATAATACTTTCTGCAGTGTTAATCCAATTGAAATAACAATTGTAATTGACACTGTAATAAGTAGGAGCACCTCACCCCACACTACGACGTCGTAACTCTGAGCACCTCACCCCACACTACGACGTCGTAACTCTGAGCACCTCACCCCACACTACGACGTCGTAACTCTGAACACCTCACCCCACACTACGACGTCGTAACTCTGAGCACCTCACCCCACACTACGACGTCGTAACTCTGAGCACCTCACCCCACACTACGACGTCGTAACTCTGAGCACCTCACCCCACACTACGACGTCGTAACTCTGAGCACCTCACCCCACACTACGACGTCGTAACTCTGAGCACCTCACCCCACACTACGACGTCGTAACTCTGAGCACCTCACCCCACACTACGACGTCGTAACTCTGAGCACCTCACCCCACACTACGACGTCGTAACTCTGAGCACCTCACCCCACACTACGACGTCGTAACTCTGAGCACCTCACCCCACACTACGACGTCGTAACTCTGAGCACCTCACCCCACACTACGACGTCGTAACTCTGAGCACCTCACCCCACACTACGACGTCGTAACTCTGAGCACCTCACCCCACACTACGACGTCGTAACTCTGAGCACCTCACCCCACACTACGACGTCGTAACTCTGAGCACCTCACCCCACACTACGACGTCGTAACTCTGAGCACCTCACCCCACACTACGACGTCGTAACTCTGAGCACCTCACCCCACACTACGACGTCGTANTATTCCCTCCCCCTTCCGCAGGTGCCCCTGGCGCGACGCAAGTGGGCGACGACGCTGGTGGGGCTCGCCACGATCCCCTTCATCGTCCACCCCATCGACGCCCTCGTCCACTACGGCATGGACAAGACAGTGCGTCCTTACCTGCACCGCCATGACGGGCCTTAGTCCATCAGTCCTTAACTGTCAAACCTGCACCGCTATGGCGTTCCAGGCGATAAGGCATAAAAAGTCGAGCTACTAGATAAGGGCAATAAGGCGTAGGAAGCATTGCCGCTGGGAGCTACTAGATAAGGGCGATAAGGCGTGAGAAGCATTACCGCTACGAGCTACTAGATAAGGGCTATAAGGTGTAGGAAGCATTACCACTACAAGCTACTAGATAAGGGCGATAAGGCTTGGTTAAAATCATTTACTTTACAGTAGTCTGCTTTGTGGTTTTGTTCGTTTATGTGATAGTTTCATTCAGCCATCATGATTGCATTTAAATACTTCTTATGGTACTTCATCATTCGACGTTAGCATTCATTAATTGTAATTGCATGTACTTACACCATGAAGATGCGTCATACATCACCTCATCTTATTTTCAATTAAGATATAGATATTCTCTAGAGATTATAGATGCTCAATGATATTGCGGTTAGTTTTCAATGTATGCGCAGTTGTTAACGTTAAATTTAACGAATTGTTGAATTTGCGACCTCAGCAACGAAGCTATTGGAACTAAGTTGGTTGATTAGTTTTAGTGATTAGCGTGTCTGCGGACTGACTAGTATGTCTGCGGACTGACCAGCGTGTCTGTGGACTGATTAGCATGTCTACCTCAGTCCAAACTCTGGATCAGCTTTGCAAAGCCGCGTTTCCTGTCGCCGCTGCTGTACAAATGTTTATAATTGGTATACATACGTTATTTTTTTTTTTTACTCAGCGTTGTTGTGTTACAATACAACGTTCATGTATATCTCTACGCCCTTGTGTTTCATTTCTCCATTTTATTAATAATTATTCGTCGTTTACCCTTGACGGAACGAATACGGCGTTAAAATCCGCTTCCACTCTTCAGTCCTAACTCTCATAAAAGTTAACGCTTCAAATTCTCGAAGGCATCTCCTCTTATATAATCCAGGTGCTGATATTCTCATAAGTTACTTGAGTAACTAGACCGTGCAGATACATAACAAGCACAACTCGATCGGCTGCTCGTCAGTACTAGACTAGTACATTCCGTACCGAATACCGTACATTTATACTTACATTTCAGCGCTCCCACCAAAATTTTCCACAGTATATTGCGACAAAATATGTTCTCGTTATATGTCCTCTTCTGATAATTGTGGTCACTGCTATTTTGCCTTCAAATGTTCGGTGCCTCTACCAATTTTAACTTTTATCTTATATCTGTTAAACTGTATTCAGTATGATAAATAAAATATTTAGCAACGTATTAGGCTTTTTTAAACGCTTACTCTCTGCCTTCATATTGATGGCAAACACGTTACCTTCTACACAGGGGAATGTGTGGGGAATTCGCTTCTTTAGCGAGAACGCTGCATTCTTATATTGTTATTTTCTAATTCGGATTCGAGATTTTAAGGCATTATGATAAAAACGTGTCTGTTTTCATTGATAGAATAAGGCCAGGCTTAAGTAATACAAATTTTTATATATTCTTGCTGTGAATGACTAAAATTGTGTACATTATTTCATGCCTCGGAAACAAGACATGAAAAGAACCCATCGATAATTAGTTAAATTGTAAAATTATTCCCCGCTTTGAATAATATTAGAAATATTTTAACATATAAAGTACCTGTCGATATTCTAGTATATACTTGCCAAGAATTAAGGTAATGTTAATTTAGGAGCTAATCCGCCCTTGAAAAGCCGCAGACTTAAATAGGATTTTCGTGACGTTATAAAACTTTTTATAGCAGAAGTTGCAGTCGCAGCAGCACTAATTGGCGTTAGTTACCATGGTTGAATCTACTAGTTCAACCATGTTAGTTACTGCCGGGGCTGGAAATAATAATATATTGTTGACAGCTTCATTTACGTAAATGCAGCCTGAGTAAAATTCTCAACTTTGAGCTGACTCTCGAACGTCTCGAACTCATATCAATGCCAACATATTATTTACTGTGAACTTGAAATTCTTCTGAAAGTCTGTTAATATCAGAACACAGATGTAAACATCCTTCTCAGGCATATAATACTCTAAATCAATTATCCATATTGGGAGGTCAGAAAGCTGTTTTTTCTGTTAAAGTAGCATTAGAGGAAGATTTGCAGAAATTGGTGAGCCGAGTTTCACTGAAGTCTGTTCAGTATTTTAAGAAATGTTCCTTGGCCATTGCAAACAGGAAACTCAGTTGCATAACCGGCCTTGAAATGTCCGTTTATAATGCTAAGGCATTTTATTATCGTAATAGCGATTTCAACGTTTCAGACTAGGCCATTATTGGCCTCTGTCTGCAACGTTGAATTTGGCCTCTCCATTATTGGCTACTGTCTGCAACGTTGAATTTGGCCTCTCCATTATTGGCCTCTGTCTGCAACGTTGAATTTGGCCTCTCCATTATTGGCCTCTGTCTGCAAGGTTGAATTTGGCCTCTGTGAAGTGTTTAAGCAATCAAACTGCAGTGAGTCATATAGAGCTATTCTCAATTGAAAAAAAAAAGGAAAACCAAGTTCGATATTTAATTAAGGTTAGCCAATAATAGAATCGGGAGTTAAATTCCAAAGTGAACCAAGAGTGAAGCAGAAATAGAAGAATTCTCGACGCGAAGACGAATCAAATTATAATGCACTGCACCGCATCTAAATAACTTCCTCTTGCGTTCCGCAGAGGGCATAGATTTTAAAGATTTTTAAAAATTATCTTGGCTTGAAATCATTCGGCTAAATTTTTTCCTCGTTATTTTTTAGAGTATTTATTGGAAAACCTATAAATAAATTTATCACAATTTTCCGGCATATTATTTGCTCGAGTGATGAACAATAGGAATAGAATCAGAAGCAAAATCTCTGCTTACTCCGTGGATATCAAGAATAAAATGTAATGATTGATAATAAAATAAAATGATTGGGTTATATTTTCCTTTATTGACACCTCCTTAACTTCCTTATCCATCACTTCCTTAACCATAGCTCGAGCATAGACTGGACGTAGCACTGATACGCCCTCTGCCAGGTCAAATTGATACATTATGGCCAATACAATGGACAAAAAGTACATAGCTATTGGGTTAAAGCCTCACACATTTCTTTGAGAGTACAGAGACAGGGAGACGTGCCCGAAGTACTGGCAGTGGTCCGATTAATGCCGGCGCATGGCCGGTCTCGTCGGTACGCTCTCCACAAACGCTGACGAAAAATTCGCTCCACCGAATTTTTCACCTCGGGTGCCAGCTCCATGCACCAGGCAAATGACGTTGAAACAACGTTTAATCAACGATAATTCAACCAAACAACGTTCATTTTAACGTTGATTCAACCAAACAACGTTCATTTTAACGTTGATTCAACCAAACAACGTTCATTTTAACGTTGATTCAACCAAACCACAATCATTATAACATTTTAACGCTGATTCAACCAAACAACGTTTATTTTAACGCTGATTCAACCAAACAACGTTCATTTTAACGCTGATTCAACCAAACAACGTTCATTTTAACGTGGATTCAACCAAACAACGTTCATTTTAACGTTGATTAAACCAAACAACGTTCATCTTAACGTAAATTCAACCAAACAACGTTCATTTTAACGTTGATTCAACCAAAGAATATTTATTTTAAACGTTGATTTAACGTCGTTTGTATGGTGCCTGCGCAGTTAAGCATCCCAGCCGTTGGGAACCGCAATCAGGCTTATTCTAAATAAAAATTTTAGCCATAATGAATCCAAAGACAAAACCATGGCCCAAAATACTCACAAGTTTACAATTAAATGCGCGCAAGACGGCAGGCCACACTGCGGTTCAGTCGCTGAGGCAGGATTCAATTAACGAGCAGTTGAAAGTTCATTAAACGGAAGGTCAAGTTTATATAATGGAGAGATACGTATAGAATAAAGCGGAGCTGATGTTAGTTTTAATTTTAGTGTTAGTTCCGCAACTACGCTATACGTTACCGCAAAAAAATGAGGTAAAGAGTAAATTTAATGAGAGGCTACGAAACAATAATTTTTTGCATGGGAAAACTGAATCATAGATTAGTCTCCACCAGAAAAGGATAAAGAAGTCTTAGAATTACGCTCACATGTAGGAATAAGTCAGAAACTCGTCATTAATTCTGCATATAATATAACAATGGTTTGATTTACAGTAACATAAGCTCGAAAAATAATATTTACGCAAAGAATATTAATGGGAACTTTTAATTAAGCTTATTGTTGTTAATGATAATAGTAACGTTATTAAATCAGAATCATGTTAGTCAAATTTTGCACTCTAGATGTTACCTAGTTTCGTTTGCTTCATATTTGAAGAAAATTCTGAAGAAGAAGAAAGAAAAATTTTTACGTGAAGAAAAATTTTTAGGTTATCTCATCCCATTTGTGGTCTTATTTTCTTACATTTTCTAAAAAAACGGTTATAGTTTAACGTTTGTACGCTTTAGATCTATATCCTCGTTTAGTGTTATGTTGAACACACCATTGTAAAATGACTGAATTTCCAGCTAAATAAGTTCCATATATGCATTCATTGAATGACAACGTCTTGACTCTTGAGCGCACAAACGTAAACATTGAACAGCTGACCAAGGTAGGCTGGCAGGTTGTCCGCTGTCAGTGTCTGTCTGGAAGCGCTAGTGAGAGGATGTTTGTCTGCTGCTCCGCTGATCATATCCGCGCAGTGTCAGATGCAGTCCATTTACACTAACCTCGGGGTACATTCTAACGGGCAGCGCTTGCAAACCTTAGCACTGGAGTCTGTGCCTGCCAGTGCTACATGGCATTAGAGAAACCATTAGTGATGTGAAACTTACACGATTTGCTGTTCGCGGTTGAGATTTTACGAATGCCATCTTGAGTGGATTGCTTCGTTGGGTCTTCGTAACGTTGCCGGCAGCCGAAGTTATTATTTGTTAATGTGATTACCTATATTATAAACTGAGATAGGTATGTATTTATTTATGATTAGCTGTATATATTGTGTATATATTCGGTTGCTTTCCATCAGTCGTGGTTCATTGCTCCCCCGAATGGTTACGTTATCCAAGAATTGCATTACTGGCATTCCCGAACCCGATAACTCCACACTCCGTAGGGGCGTTCGCTAGTCCTTGATAAGGTGATAGCAAGTCCTTACGGCGGTAGCAAGTCCTTACGGCGGTAGCAAGTCCTTTCGGTGGTAGCAAGTCCTTTCGGTGGTAGCAAGTCCTTATGGTGGTAGCAAGTCCTTATGGTGGTAGCAAGTCCTTATGGTGGTAGCAAGTCCTTACGGTGGTAGCAAGTCCTTACGGTGGTTGAAAGTCCTTACGTTGACCGCAGGTTTGTCATGTCATCCATGCTGATTTTGCTCTGCCAATTCAGGTGCCTGAAGCCTCTTGGTCACCGCTATGTGATTGGCTGACAGATTTCGAATGCTACTGCTGGCAGCATCTGGTCACTATGATGTGATTGGCTGAAAGACATCAAATGTAACTGTCCACAGCATCTGGTCACTGGGATATGATTTGCTGGCAGATTTCATATGTATAACTGCCTGGAGTGTCTGGCCGCTG